GGGATAAGGAGATGGAGGAGAAGGAGGAGGAGGAGAAGGAGGAGGAGGAGGAGGAGAGGAGGAAGAGGAGGAGAGGAAGAGACATGAGGTGGTAAGGGAACTCACCTGTGGGATGACTCGCCACTTGCTGGAGAACAGGAGAGAGAGGCGGCAAACGGAGCACACAATGCACGTGAGAACCTCCCGCTTGCGGCACTCAGGAGACGAACCAGGATGACGAAGTGGAACTGGACCGCGGCACAAACAGTGTACACGCCCGAGCGAGAACCGGGCGGACAAACGGACCTTTGTCACCAAGGTCGAGTGCCGCGGAGCACACTCTTACTTCGAAATGAATCTGAGATGCTTCGCAGTCCGGATGCATTTCGAACTCTGGTCACAGCGACAGTCGACTCAACCCAAGCGTCTGCAAGAAAGCTCAGCCGTTATGGAGGGCATGGCCTTGGCGGGAAAGAAGTGAAAAAATACAAAAAAAAAAGGACTCGCTTCACACCACTTGAACTCAAGTACTCGTTTCACACCATTTGAAACTCAAGTACTCGTTTCACACCACTTGAAACTCAAGTATTTCCTGCCCAACACTGTTCCACGGTACACGTTCTGGGCCCAAATGCGCCGCATATGGTATACTTCGCAGCCAGGAGGCTGCGCGATTAGCCGGTTGCATTTTTGGCGCGCAGCGGGTTTCCCGATCGGAAATGTCGACCATTTTGGGGTTTAGAGCGGGCGGGAATATGGAGCAGAAGGGGGAAATGGGCCTCGTTCCACACCACTCCACTTCAGAAATACTTGAGAAATTCCTCGTTCCACACTGCACTGCACTTGAGTTTCACCCTCCCTAATAGCGATTAGGCTTCCGGCCTCTCCCGGCGCCCGCCAAAAACGTAAAGTGCGGCTCAAGTGCGGCCCAGGCCAATAGGTGATTTTTTCAAGTCACCTCTCCGGGCACACTTGAGCCGCACTTCAAAACGGCGCAAGTGAGAGAGAGGAGGCGGTTGTAGGCGCTGCACGTTCCCCCCGTTTTTTCTTTTCAAGTGTGGAGTGGAGTGTAACGTCGAACCGTGCCAGGCTCAAGTGTTTTTTAATGACGATTACCCTGTGACGCAGCTCAAGTGCCGCACTTGAAATTGAAGTGGAGTGAAGTGGTGTGGAACGAGGCCCAATGTCGACGACCTTTTCGGGGTTTAGAGCGGGGGTCAAGTCCCAATAGCATCGTGTAGTTGTAGGCAGGAACGCGATGCCACACGTAAGTTCAGCGGGAAAATGTGTGTGATTCACTGATACTACGCTCGGGCATGGGGACGCAGCCAGGCCGGCGGCGGACCAGCGACTAGTCTATGAGAGCTGCGCAATCTGCGGTTGCAGAAATGGAAGGAACTCTAAAACAAGGTCGCATTCAGGCACTGAGGGAACTCGTTGCCCCTACTGGACCTTGCCCCCCTACCCAATGACGGAGTAAAAAAGGGATACTACTGTGAAATGCCCCTAGTGGAACTAGGCTCTAAAATCAAGTGTAGTATCTGTTCTGATCCATGCAGACGCGGGCTGTACGCTCGTAGTTGCAGAATGGGCTTGAAATGCACAAAAGACAAAAATCATGTACACACACAC